ACACACACACACACGCATGCACGCACGTGTACGTGCACACAAACTCACCAATTTCTCCCCCTCTCCCCCCACCCCAGGAATTCCCTCCAAGAATAGGACTTGAGGAGGGTAGCTAGCTCCTTGACAGCTGCCTTCCTCCTTGTTCTGGCCCGAGCCCTGTCATGCTGCGGTTTTGCTCTCACTTCCTGTCTGCTGCTTATCTCTCCTTCTGCGTGTGCTTCGGTTGGGGGATCTGTTTATCAGCTGGACCACGCTGCTCTTTGTTCCTTCTACAGAGGACCTGGAGCTCCAAGTGCGGTCCTTTTGACTAGTTTTGCTTTCAAGATCCCACCCCCAGTCTGAGGCCGCCACATCCATTACCATCGCTGCAGGCTGGGAAGCCAGGTCCTTCCCTCCAAGACACCAGTGTTTCCTGGACAAGGCTCTGATCCTGAGAAAGGGGCTGCTGATTCCTGAGTGGTAGACCTGCCTCGCCAAGATCCATGAGAGGGTGCCCTGGGTTGCATGGTGTGGGCATGTCCACGGGAGCTTGTGAGGTCCATATAAATCAGGGGTCTTCGGGGACATGAGCTGGTGACCATTTCCTGTTTCCATCACAAGCAGATTATGTATAAAGGTCTCAGAGACAGATGATCTTTCCTAGATCCTTCTCCCCTCCTGTCTCTTCACGGGAAGCCCACACAGTGTGTCCTGTGACTCATGAGTTGAAGTGTGCTGCAACCTGTGCGGAGCCACAAGTCGGTTTATAGTCTTAGTTCCCCTTTTCTGCCACGGTTCCTTTGGGCTGAAGCTGTTATCTCAGCTGTCTTGATCCTTGAAGAACTGAGTCCTCTTGTCTAGGATGTCAGCTCCCCTTGTGACTGGGCCCAAGTGGTTGGGTTGCTAGGACACCAGAGCCCTGCCTCTGCAGCTCTTTGTGGTTCTGCACTGAATTAATCTGTTTCTTGGCCCAAACCAAGCCCAGGTGGCAACCCAAGAGCTGCCACCCAACCTCTTCTTTCAGGTTGCCTGCGTGCTTCTGACCCCTGGGTTCCTTCATGGCCGGGCAGCTCTCGGCCCGCCCCACCCTGCCCAGGCCTCCCACTTGACTTATCCACATGAAATCCCCAGATTCCATACCAGTGTCCTCAAGGCTGTTTGACCCATCAGTATAAGCATTCAGTGTCTAAAATTTATATACTGCAGTTCCTATATTCCTAGCTAGAAAAAGAATTAACCTTGACAGGGACCACAGAAAATTGGCATCTCCTCCCCTGACCCCCTTATTTCATATACGAGAGAGAACATGCCTGGCCCAGGTCTCAGCTACTGAGGACAGACCTGGGTACAGGTCTCCTGTCTTCTAGTTTAATTAATTGTGTGCACCCCAAAGTCCTCTTGGTATTTAGAGGGTGCTTTTTGTTTGATGTATTTGCCTAACAGGGAAGTCACTGATGCCTTGTCTAAAAATGTAGAGACAGATGAGTGCTGGTCGGAATGGAAGGTGTGACCCTCAGCTTTGGAACCGCACACATTAGCAGCCTCCGTGTACTTGTAGCCTCGATGATGGTGGCGTCTGGGATAAACACCATATGGAGATTGCATAGGCTTGGCTCCTGCATGCAGAGAAGTTATCTAGGAATAGAATCCGCAGACCACAGGGAAATAGTTAAACGTTAGCATAATCTAGAAAAAGTGTGAACACAATTCACCTTAATCTAGTCTCAGGTGGGACAATTGTTTGTTGAAAAGTTTCTGCAGTTGAGGAAACCTTTTTCTTTCTTTCTTTCCTTTTCTTTTTTTTTTTGAGACAGTGTTTTGCTCTGTCACCCAGGCTGGAGTGCAGTGGTGCCATCATGGCTCACTGCAACCTTGACCTCCTGGGCTCAGCCTTCTGAGTAGCTGGGCATGCACCACCACACCTGGCTACTTTTTTAATTTTTATTTTTATAGAGAAGAGGTCTCACTGTGTTGCCCAGGCTGGTCTTGAACTCCTGGGCCCGAGTGATCCTCCTACCTGGGCTTACCAAAGTGCTGGAATTACAGGGTGAGCTACCCTGCCCAACCAGGAAAGCTTTGTGGAAAGAATTAAACTTCAAAGCTGCAAGAGTCGGGCGTGGTGGCTCAAGCCTGTAATCCCAGCACTTTGGGAGACTGAGGCAAGAGGATTGCTGAGCCCAGGAATTCGGGACCAGTCTGGGCAACTTGGTGAGACCTTGTCTCTACAATAAATCAAAAAATGAGCCATGCATGGTAGCACACGCCTGTAGTTCCAGCTACTT